GGTGTTTTTACAAAAGACCCTTAACTATCCTCAGTACCATTGCTGTTGTTGTTTAACCATTTCAAAATTTTTTTGAAAAAAGGTGAAACTAGGTTTCACCTTTCGTCATGACGAAACCTCCTAGGTTTCGTCTAACATCTATAATTCTAACCAATATAAATAATCTTGTGTAACAGTGAGTTTCAATAGAAATTGATAACCAATCAAAACAAACTCCTGCTATGCTACATCTTTTTATTTGATATACCGATACGTATAAAAATAAACAAAAATTCAGGGGTAAAATTTAGGTTTCACAAACACTAATATCAAAAAATTGTTTGTTTTGATAGACACGAATAGGTAAAAAAAAAAAGTGAAAAATGAAAAGATAGAAAAAACGAGTGTCTAAACCTATCTCAATTCACTAATAAAATGTCGGGAAGGAAATTTTACTACCCTTACCTTAAACCTTACATTAACTTAATTAAAAAATCAAAATCATATGACCGCGCACGGCTTTGGACGTACTCCTTTTTATCTGTAAACTAGAATATAAAATATGTCACTTTGTGTACCTACGGTACACCGTAGTAACATACCTATTTTAAAATTCGTACTATATGGTACGAATTTTAAAATAATATTTTACATACCAGACTGATCAGATCACCCATACAATATAGAAATTTCATTTTACAATAGAATTTTGGCCTTGATACCGATATATATTGCAGTACCGTGATGTGATTTTTTTTCAGAAGATATAATATGGCATGATCATGATTGTGGTGTAATTTTTTAATGTCCTGATATAAGTCATTAGTAGATATTAGATAGCATGATTGTGATTAATCTCCTGATATAAGTCATCAGAAGATATATGGTATAATTATAAATTATTTAAAGTATAAATATCATCATTTGTATAATATTCTTGTTAGCTTTATTCATTAAAAAAGTAAAAATAAAAAAGGTAAATAACAACGCTAATTTTTAATTTTTTATTATTATGATATTAAACTTGATTATTTATTTTTCTAGGATCCAATGAATAAGCAACGATTAATCTTTTTGATCGTAATCCTATCATTATTTGATTTGGTACATTTCTCTAACGCTAATATTTTCAAACGTATTCCTGTTACCTGTTCTGGAAAACGTAATTGTCATGTACAATGTGATATGAGTGCAGGAAGTATGTATACAAATAATTGTAGCGTTAAAACTTGCACATTTACTTCAAATTCAGTTTTATGTGATGGATCTTGCGCTAACCAGTTAGATTATGCTGAAGAACGTGCTTGTCATTTTTCATGTGGAACTGCATGTACATATAATTGTTCTAAATGCAAAAGAACTGGTCCTAACGCTAGTGACTGGGCTTGCACAAATTGCAAATGATTTAAAAACATTTTAGCTATACATATATTATTAAATTATATTTATAAAAATTTCTTATTTCACACTAATGTACGAAATACAAGCATAATTTGTCAATCAATATAATGTAAATTAGGGAATATATTTTTTTAAACTGTGTACTATAGCGATATCTTACGTTATATATAGTATATGATTAATTGGCTAATTAACAATTAGTCTTATGTGGGGGGAGAAATAGTAGTTTATTTATAATCAAAATTTTGAGATATTATTCGTCTATGCCTGTGATTTATACATTGGTGTACAATTAGAAATTGTCTATATTTTTTATTTATTTATTTAAATAAAATAAATTGTTACTATTTTTCTATAATAATATTGTAGTGAATTAATTTTATACCTTTTTCACTTTTAGTGTACCGTATTAACGCCCCGGTCGGTTCCCTAATTTCCACCCCAGTTCTGATTAGACATTTGCAAATGCTGTCTCTGACTGGTGTAAAGGTCTAAATTGACCCTCCGGAAATACTG